GGCCCCCAGCCAGGGTCAGCCCACCACAGGTATGAATGTAGCAAATGTTCCCAAAATTTACGGTCAATAAATACAGTGTTAATTAATTAATCAGGCTAAAATTAGACAGCATGTCATTTAGACAGGACCGATACCTATAAAGTAGAGGTTTCCACTTTTCAGGGACAGAAATGTGTTTGGGCTAGTGCTCAGACACTGTTTGATTTAGGGTTCGATGCACTGCCTTGCTTTGCTAACCACTGTACCTCTGGAGAAGAGCCCAAGGACTGATAAAAAGCATGCTTTGCTAACGAGTAGCCTTGAAGGAGAGCTGGAAAACCGATCAAAAGGAACCATCCTGCCCCAGAAAGAGCCCAGAGCTGGGGGATGGCCAGAGAGGCCCCAAGTCAACAAGAGTCACCAGGAACCGGGGAAGGGACAGGCGGCTGGGGGGGCGCGCGACCACCAATTAAAGGACTATGCGAATTACCCCCCACACCCTCGAGGAGCGTGTGTGCTAGTTTAAATGTGCTTGACCAATAGTAGGTGATGCGGTAATTACTAACCAGTTAGCGTAAATTTAGGCGGGTTTTTCTAATCCTGCCTAAATTCCCTTCCTAAGCCCAGTGAGTGGGCCGGGGGTCAAACCAACTGACACCACAAGTTTTGGGATTGTCACGCTCCTGTCCTATAAAATCTTGCGCTCGCTTCCTACGCAAAGGGCAGGGAGGCTGCACGGTGCTTTGATGGTGATATCTATCTAAAAGCATCATCAACCTGCTGGCCATGTGTCCTGGCCATCCTGGGGAATCCTGCAGCTCCTCTCGAGAAACTCATGTCCCCTTCCCCATCTCTTGGGGACACAAGTGTGGCTGGAACCAGCGCTGGTCAGGTTGGTCTAGCAGGGATGGTTTCTAGGAGAGGAGGGACAGGAGTATGGGCATCACCCCACTGGATCCTGAGGAGCATCTCCCGTGGGTTTTGGCAGTGTGGGGCAGCTGGAGTCCCACCTGGGAGAGGGCACAGCCCATCTGCCCGTGCATGGCCTCCTTTACACCAACATGAGCCAGGCTGGGGTGGAACTGGCAGGCAGCCTCTTCCTCCCAAAATCTTCAGCATGCCTCTGCGACGGGAGATGTCCTGAGCTTCAGGACCTGGATGGCACCAGCCCCAGGCTGTGCAATGTCTCCATGCCCAGCCCTGACTCCAGCAGTGGGGCTGTACAGGGACACCGAGCCCCTTCCCTGGTCCCCAGGGCTGGACATCTCCATCAGACACATGCCCAGGGTGAAAGCACAGGCTCAGACAAGGTCTGCTCGAAGAAAGGTCTTTATTGAGATGTTGGCTTGGACAGGAGGCACTTGGGGCTGTACAGGTCTCGGGGTGACACGGTACCCCCAAGCTGCTGGTTTCTAGGGGAGATTTCCAGGCAGAGCCTTGTTAACATCGAGATCAGAGCAAGCCCCTGCCCGTGGGGCCAGCCATTGCTGCCTGCTGTCACGACATGAGGGCAGAGCTGGGGGTGCAGCACCTTGGGACCATGGAGGACCACCATGAGCTTTGGGGTGTCCCAAGAACTAGGGCTGATGGCTGGTTTTCTTCCTCCATCCCCTCACATCGCCCCCATCAGTAAAACACCTTTTCCAGGTAGGTGTTCAGGAACATCCCTGTGGGGTCCAGCTTCTCCCGAACGGAGCAGAATTTGGGGAAGGCTGGGTACATCTTCTCAAAGTCCTTCCGGGTGCAGCTGTGGGCCTGCAAGGAGAGAAAGTGTCCAGGGGGGCTGCCCATCACTGGGGAACGTGTCGCTGGCCCTGGACGCCCCCCACCACGTGCTGTGGGAAGCCCCTGAAGAAGTGGTGGGCCCTCCATCCCCTTATCTATGTGCCCAGGTTAGGTAGCAAACAGGGGAATGCCATCTCCTCAAGGCATCCATCTCCTTCTGGCAGCAGCCCGATGTGGGGACCCTCCTCTGATCTCCTCTTCACTGCAAACCCCTCCTACCAAAAGGAGCTGCGATGGAGAAGGTGAAAGGACCCCTTTCTGCAGACCCTTTCCTCCCAGAGGAGCAGGACCGTTGGTACCTTTGCCCAGTGTGGTCTGCCACCGTGCTTCTTCATGATGCCCTCATAGGTCAGCCAGTAGTTGAGGCGGGGGACGTTCTTCCCGTAGGGCCTGGGAGGGGGTCGGACAGGGAGGGCATTAGCAGGGGCTGTGGGGGGATTTGCACACCCAGGAAGTCTCCTCAAGAAACCCCCACCTGAGGAGAAGGGCAACCCTAGGGACCCATCATGGGCTTTTTGACCAGCACTGGGTGATGGAAACCCTCTGGGAGCCAACATGCCACCAGCACTTGGCCAGCGGACCCTGACGTAGGACAACATTCTCAAGAAACAGGGCTGGGTGGGTCTAGGTGCCAAGGTGCTCCAAGGCCACCCCATCCCTTCCGGCTTGGTGCCTGCAAATGTCTTGAGTGGGTTGAGTGGGCAAAGATGCAGGAGGTCGTTTGAGCCAGCTCTCCAGTGCCAGGCGAGAGCTGGTGTTGGTGTGTCTGAGCTGTGCGTTTGCACAGAGACCCGGCTCCCGGTGCACCAACACACTGACCCGGGGAGGAGGAGGAGGACAGGAGTGAGACAGGGACCATGGTTCACCTGTACATGATGATGTTCATGTAGCAGCTGTCCCGTTGGAAGCAAGGACTCAGCCAGATCTCGTCACCCCGAGCGAAGCGTACCTCCACGGGGTAGTGAGCCACCATCTTGGGGTTGTTCTCCAAGGCGGTTTTCAGCTCCAGCAAGGCTTCCTTTGTCTTCTCACTGCCCAGGGGAAGCCCCCAGCCCCGGTTAATGCCAGCATGGGCACAACCAGCTCCCTTCAGGTTTGAACCCCCTGCCCCACCGCTCCACCTCTGGCCCCATGCTAATTGAGGGAATGGCTTGGCATGTCCCAGCACATCCCTCCCGGTCCTTTGGGCTCCCAGAGCCCCAAGACATGGTGTGGTGTGGATTTGGTACCCCGGGACAGGGATGAAGAAGGGTCCCCATGCTAAGCTTGCAGGTAGGAATGGTGCCTCCTAGCCAGGTCCCTTTTTCGGTGGCTTTGCTCCTGCTCCAGGCAGAGCACAGGCAGGGGACGGCATGTGGTTCGGGCACTGAGCCCGGCTGGGGAGGGACAGGGAGGGTCTGCAGAGCCATTTACATGGGGATGGCCCAGTCCTGAACGTGCTGCTTGAAGCGACACTCGTAGTTGAAGATCTTGTAGCTGATGGCAATGTTCTCCACCCGGGAGCTGAAGAGGAGCCAGAAGAAGAAGCGGTTGATCCAGCACACCAAGCTGGGCACAAAGGTGCTGCAGGGAAGAGAGCAGGAGGTGAGATCTGACCCCAGAGCTGGCGGACCGGGATTTGGCAAGGGCAGGCTGTGAGCCGTGATGCCGCAAGCCACGGCCTGGAGATGCTGGGCAAGAGGATGCCCCTCAAGGAGCTGCAGGCAAAGCTGCACCCCCCCCATGCTGGAGCCTGTGGGGACCTGCAGCCCTGCCAGGAGCTCGTCTGTGCTCGCCCCACCTGGTCTTGGACCTTGCACCCTTGCCCTCAGCTCCCTCCTCCTCCTCTTGCTGCAAGCTAGGAAAGGGATGCTCTGTCATCACCTTCCCTCCCCCGCAAGACCTCAGTGCCTCCCAGGCTGTGCACTGGGCATCCTCAAACCAGGGGACTGAGACCTACTGGGGACAGGGTGGAGTGGCAGGGTGGGTCCCTCAGCAGAGTCCTGAGTGGCCACAGTCCATCTTCTCCCCCTTCATGGAGTCCAGCCCAGCTCTCCTGTGCCACCAGGGTCCTGCTTCGCAGCCTCCATGACCTGGCTGGATCTCCTCTCTCCACCCTGGTGCTCAGGACATGCTCACAAACAACGCCCTTCCCCAAAAACCTCCTTTGCTGCTGCAGACCCTCACTGCTGCTCCATCTCTGTGCACACGAGAGGGCAGTGCAGCCCCAGACATCAATCTCAACGCAACTCTGCTCCTCCTGCGCAGGAGCTTGCTTGGAGGAGAAGAAGGGATGGGGGAGCTCTGGGTCACAGTCCTCCCTTGCCGCCTTCCCTGGGACTCCCAGGAAAGCAGCACAGGTTTCAATGTAGAGATGCAGAGAAGAGATCTGGATGAGGCCAGCCCTGGACAAACCCAACCCACCCTACTTGTCCCCAGCCGCTGCCCAGAGCATGCCTTTACCTGATCCAGAGCAGAAACTCCAGCAAATAGTAGCCAACAGCATAATCCCACAGCCAGCTGGCAGAGGAAGAGGGTGGCTGCAAAGCCAAGCAGAGGAAGATGATGGTCATTAGGGACTAGCAGGGTTTGCAGCTTTCTTACCAGCAGGTACGAAGGTGGGAGCACATGCCTGGACCAGGACCAAGCTGGGAGCAGGGGTTTGGAGAAGAGCACCCCAGGACTCCCCAGATCTCTCTCCCATGATGAAACAGGGCTAAATCCAGACCCAGGAAGGGACCGAGCTTTGTCATAAAGATGCTGATATCTTGGACAGCCCCGGCTGCATCTGTGTCTCAGGACTCCCCTGACTGCGGAGCATGGGCAGAGTCCAGCCCAGCCCCAAAATGCTGTTCCCTGATCAGACCCCCAGCAGCCCTTGCATTGCAAGCCCACCCTAAAACACCAGCACCCAGTTTTGTGCCTTCTCCCTTCCCGCACGGAGTCTGGTGGGACCTGCCTTGTTGGTGGGATCCTGGTAGATGACACTGACATTCTCGCTGTGAGGGAACCACAGGAATCGGAAGTATTGGGATCTCTTCAGGTGGTCATCAAGGTGATCGAGGACCTGCAACAACCAGAGAAATGGGGACTGGTTGGTGACTGTGTGTCCCCCCCCCCGGTGGGGCAGGGATCCTGGGAGCAGGGCTTGGAGGCACCTCGGAGGACTCCCAGGAATGCTGGGGAAGGTCCAAGGAGTCTGTCTGCAGAGTCTTGGCAAGCCTTGGCTTGGAGGGAGGTCAATACAGCCCAGCCAAGCGCAAAGGAGCTAGTAGAGACCACGGACCCAACATCTGGGGAAGGGAACCAAGATTGCCCATCATCTCCTCTGCCTCGGCCGCAACAGAGCCCCCCCATCCTGCAGATGCTGCTGGGGCTGCATCTGGCACACACCTGAGCTCAGACCCCACATCCTCCTGCAGTCACACCTCTGCAGCCCCCAAACTGCTCCACCAGGCATTCCCAGACACAAGGCAGCCCAGCCAGGGCTGGAGGGGGCCCCTCCAGCCATCAGCCATACAGTGGGGCATGCTGGAGGCTACCAAAATCCACCTCCCGGTCCAGCATCAGGGATGCCCTCTCCAGTTTTCACACCTTGGCAGCACATCACTTTGCAGCTCTGGAACCCAGGGGCAGCGGGAGATGGAGCCAGGATGCAACGGGACATGGAGTCGGGATACAACAGGGGATGGAGCTGGGATGCGCTACACGACCCTGTCCCAGAGACATCCCCCGCTTCAATTGCAGAATTGCCAAATTATTCATAAAGACACAAAAAAGAGCTTTAAGAAAGGCGTCTCCCTGGGATGAGCTGCCTGCCAGCAGCCAAGGACAGTGAGGCACAGGGAGTCTGAGCGGGCAGGGGACAGGCAGGACCATGCAGGTGATGGGGCGCGAGAGGGTGACCGCATCCCCAGGACATACTCAGCCTCTTCCCGGAGCCACCGGGGTCTTGTCTCAGGGGAGGAAACCCTGCTGCCTGACACAGTAGCACCCACAGAAATGAGAAGACCCTTCAGCCCTCATCCCTGTGCGTGCAAGGGTAGAGGGACCCTGCGCTCATCCCCTGCGCGGTGCTATTTTGGCCGGGCCACCCTCTCTCCCTCTTGCAAACAACTTCTCCAACCACCCCCTGCTCCTCCTGCAGACATCTCCCATAGAATTGCAAAAAAGGCTTAAAACCCCAGCAGCTTTGCTTCAAGGAGTTTGCTTGACCCAGGAGAAGGTGCAATGACCCATGGATATAACCCCGGGAAGGTCATGGCAACCTTGGCTGTGGAACTGCTCCTTTCCAACTGGGTCATCTGAATTATTTGTCTTAATGAGCTATTAATCACCAAGCTGGGGTGTTTTAGCACCAAGCATCTTGCTGTGACCCCACCATAAGGTGAGGGTCTTGGTGGGGTCGCACTGCTGTAACGCCGAGGTCCCGTTAAAGCAGGGAGGTTGGGAAGACAAATAGCGTATTTCTGCAAGGGGTGAGGATTAACACTAATGCTGTTGCCTTCATCTTCACATTTGCAGCTCCCAAAAAGCCACAAAATCTCTCTAAGATGTTCCCCAAACAACTGATTTTCTGGCCAGAGCAGTTGCTAGGTTGAAAACAGTTAATTGTGCAAGTAGAAGCAGGGCAAAAGACAGAATCCTACGTTTTCCCGGGTTTGGTTTAGGAACAAATGCATCGAGGAGCTAAAATGAGTGGGGAAAAGAAGGATGCAGCTTTCCCAAGGTGATCCCACCAACATCTGTTTGTCTTCCAGCCGCGGCGTTTGAGCGCAGAAGCAAATTGCTAGCGGGGCGACCTTTTCAATGTGCGCTTTTGATCCCTCTGATAGAGGAATGTCGGTCTGAAGAAAATAAACCCGGGACTTTGTAGGATAATTACAGCGCAGTGGGCAAGAGCTGAAGGCAGCGAGCGAGCCGGCTTCGGGAGTCCTTGGGGACGTTGTCTGCTGGCTGAGCGCTGGAGTCGGAGGCAGAGGTTGGGCGGTGGAAATCTTGTTGCTGTAACGTGGCCAACGCACGCAACAGAGATGACCCTGGAGCACGCAGAAACCTGGGGGGATTTTGCTCTTCTTTGCTTCCCTCCCGGGAGCCCAGAACAAATCCCTTGGCTTCATAAAGGCCGGGTCAAAAGGAGCCGCTTGCTTTCTCGCTTGCAAATACCCTCGAGAGCTCACTGAGCTGAGGTCCAGGCACCCTGCCTGCTGCAATGCGGGTTTGGTTGCTCCAGATGGTCCTCGGGGAAAGGACGAGGATGGGACAAGCGGCAGATGTGGCCAAGGTGCTGTGGAAGACGAAGCACGTGCAGTCACTAGCACACATCCCGTAGGTCCATCAGAGCAATGAAGAGGAGCCAAGGAGCATGGAGAGCTCAAATTTTGGGAGAGGAGATGGATGCTCATCCTCCCCTCTTGCCTGCGTGCTGCCCGTGCCTGCCGGGGTCCCACCGCATCAGGGGACGATGTCTGAGCACCCGTTGGAAGTTCCGTGCACTGAGGCCAAAAATATTTCTGGCTAGGAGGGACGAGGTCAGGCCCAGGACGGGTGAGGGGGTTTAGGCACTGGGTGGTCTTGGAGGAGTTGGGCTTGAGGGATCCATCCCAGGTGTGTGGGACATGCCCACAGGGTTAGGTGCAGGTTAGGGTTAGGGCTTGGCTTAGGAAGTGGTGGGCTCAGACCGAAGGAAGTTCTTCACCCAACAGATCACTAAGCTGTGCAAGTCTGCAGGTGGTTAAAAGCTTGCATGGGTTCAGAAGTAGATCAGAGACCCTCCTGGAAGAGAAACTCATTGCCTCATCACATATAAACAAACCACCTCCAGCTCAGGAAGCTCCAAAGCTGCAAAGATCAGGGGAAGAAGTATTTTATCTGAGTCTGCCCCATCCTCCTCCTCCTCACCAGCCCCCCAGCAGGTCTGGGACAAGGGGAAGCCGACTCCATCCCCACCACCATCCAGGGATGCTCTGCAGGGCTCTCTGGTGACCTCAGCTGTGCAATGAACCCTCTCGGTCCCGCGCCTTGCTCCTGGTCACCGTCAGCAGCTACAGCGGCTGAGTTTATCCCAGCGATAAAGTTAATCACGAGGCCAGCAAAGAAAGCATGCAGATCTTACATAACCGCAAATCCAAGCCTGGCTCCTCTGACACATATATTATTTGCAATGTCTTAGATAACTCAGGCTTAAATATTTCAAGCAACCTGCTCCCTTGCCATTATTCTCTTCCGCCTCGCTGGGCCTCTCGACATGAAAGCCGGAGATCTGGAAGCAGGCGAGGAACAGCGATGAGCGAGAATTGATAATGGCATTAATATTTATAGAGTGCATGCTCGTTTCGCCCTCCTAACAGCCCCAAGGGACGGGGAAAGATGGGCTGAGCTGTGTAGGACGCATAGCACGGGCAGACGATGCTGAGCAGGGTAAAGCTCAGCCTAAGCTACTTGCCCTGCTAAGGACAGCAGGCTTATCCTGCACGTGAGCTTAAATTTTCTATCAAAAAGGCAGATTAGGAGGTGTAAAACAACTCAGCCAGGCAATTTGGCTGCGGAAGGTGCTAGAGGACACAGTGAAGGTCCGAGCAGTCTGGCAGGATGGGGTGAGGACCAAGACGTAAGGAGCTGGCGGGCCCCTTTAAACATATTTAAATACATTTAAAGCGGGGAACTCCCTGCTGCAGGACACCAGGGAAGTCGCAGCTCAAGAAGCAAACAGGCAATTCACGGGCAAAAGATACTCCTGAGCCGTTGCACGCAAACACATCACCTCTGAAGCTGGCAACGCCGCTCCATGCAGGCTGGAGAAATATCTTGGCGGCTTTCCCTTATTCCTCTGTTTTCCCTTCCCACCTCCCAGGAAAAACAAGAACCTGAAGTGCTCCAGCTCTCCGCTGCTCCGGTGCAGCTGCTCTTCGGGGGGGTGAGAGCGGGCAGGCAGACACGCTAAGGCACTCGGGTGAGGTGCGTGGACCTCTCTGTCCACCCCCATGGCCAGCCCAGCTGCCCGTGGCACAGCGTGGGTTGCTTTGGACCAAGGCTTACGAAGAAGATACTGCACAAGTGCCTGAAATTCACCTTCGTGGTGGTGTTCGAGCCGCCCCAACGGGACACTGAATAATTCAGTCCTTAAAAAATTAAGGATGGTGTTTCTCAGAGCTTTACTAGTGCTGCAGCTCTGATCAATCCTGCAACAAATTTTGCTGCTTTTGTCCAAGAACTATTTATTTTTCATGAGCCCAACTTAACAAAGGCTTCTGCTGTCATTAGCCAGGGCTGGAACTGGACCTGTGAGACCCAAATGAGACAACGGATGAGGATGCTGCTGAGAAGATGCACCAGTGGGGTTGTCAGACCACGGGAGGACAAAGACGATCCGTGGTTGAAGCAGATCCAAGCTCCTGGAGAGGTTCCTTTTCACTACCGCTGATTTCTTCCTCCTGATGGACTTTGTGCCTCAGTTTCCCCATCCAGAAATCTAACGCCTTCCAATGAACGCAGTGAGCCCACACAGCATTTAGAAGGCCACCAGGCCTTTCAACTTGCAGGTGGCCCCTTCTCTGTAGGCTTTAGCCTGTGCAAGGCTGCAGCCTCCAGCGATGATCTGGTGCCAGAGACCTGGGACAAGCTGGATGATCGCTCAGCTCGAGGCAGTAGGTCCCATCCTGATATGGTGGCCTTGCCAGGCTGTCCCTGCGGTGGAAGGGCTGATCATCAGATGGAACAGCTCGCTCCATCCAACTTCTCAGCACCGTGAGGGTGGGAGGGCTCCAAGGAAATGCACGCAGCAGTTAAAAGGAGTTTATGTAACAGCAGAGACAGGGAACATCGGTTTTGATGTGTTCCCAGGAGAAAGAATTCCTTCAGATCGCCCTGTAGAAATGCCCACTGGGCCTTCAGAAAGCTTTCTGAGGGAACCGGATCACACCCACCCTTGGCCACAGAGCCATGTGGAGACCCAAGCTTGTAAAGCCCAGGAGATACACTGCCCCAAAAAGGGGCATTTCATGCCTCTTTCGAGGGAAATCAGCCCGTTTCAGGCTGGTTCCTGCTGGGGATGGAAAGCTCGGCTGGAGGTAACCCCTCTCCAGCTCTGAGCATCCCAGATGCTGTACCAGCGTCCCAGGACACTGTCCCCAGTGCCTCAGCCCTGTACTGAACAGGGACCTAAACTTCTCATGCTCTCCATGGCCAACCAAGTGCCCTTTCATGGGCTACATGCAAGATGTGGTCTTCAGGAGGGACATGGACATGAGGAGGGGACAACAGGGAGAGGATGGATGGTGGGACAGGAGGACTTGCCAAGGAGGAGACGGCATGTGAAGCCTCCAGAGCCATGCAGGATCTTGATCTGTGAGACAGCAGGTCAGAAACCCTCCTCAGGAAGCCACGTCTCCTGAGCATGTCCCAGGTGGGACAACCACTGCCACCATCCACCTTAGCCTGGGTGAGCGGGACCTTTGGCAAGACAGAGACAGAGAAGGCCAGTAGCAACGTGACAATCGGTTTAAAGGCAGTTTTCCATCACACGACCCAAATGCAGCTCTGAGGTTGGATCCTGATACGGGATTTGTTCAGTCTGGCCCTTGAAAAGTGTCGCCCATCGCACTCCTCCTCGTCCCCAGCACGGTCTGTCCCAAGTCCAGCTCAAAAAGTTAAACCCAACCTTCACACTGGGAGACGGAGAGCTCCATCCTAAAAAATACCCTGACCTCACGCAGAAGGAGGCACCAAGTTATTATCAAGAGCACAAGATGCTCACGGACTATTTTAAGTGACCCATCTGTCGCTGGAAAAAGCAAAGCTCTCCGTTAGCCGAGGAGCAGGAGGCAGCGAGATGGGAGACGACAGTTCCTCGGTGAGCACACGGTTCACGGGAGCAGCCGTGCCCCGCGGGATGCTGCTTCTCTCCTCCAGGACCCAGCTAGACGCTGCCTGCCTCCGGGGATGCTGGCTCAGCACAGGCACAGTCTTCTCCCTCTTCTTGCTCAGTGCAGGCAGCGCATGAGCTCATCAAACCAGCTCAGGATTTCCAGCAAGGGCAATTTTCTCCAGCTGGAACATTAAATCTGCATTAGGCTTAGTCATGCGTGCCTCGAGTTACCAGATCTCTGCTGACCTGCCGGCGCCTGCGAACACCGGGTTAAACGGAGCAGAGGCGTTGGCTGATCCATCTCCCGGTGACGTTTCCCGCGGCCAGAAGCAAGCGCTGATGCCTGCAAGCTCCTTCATCATCTCTAACTCAATTGCTCTGGAGCCTCCGTGCTCACCCCACTGCGGCTCGGAGGCAGCCCGGGGAAGATGGAGCTGACGGCTATGGGCAAACCTCCATCCCTGCTCCGGTGGGACCGCCGGCGTTGCGCAGCTCAGGCGTGTGTCCAAGCACCGGAGCAGCTCCCCACCGCTGCGGCTGCCCTTCCCCTCATTTATCCCTGCCTGCAGCGACGCTCAGGAATTGCTCCCGAGGTGGGGGCACAGTTTAAAACCCGCGGGGATAGACCACAGCTGGAGAAGGGGATCTGATTTCTGTGCCCCCCAAGCTGAGTCAGGAAGGGGACGGCTGATGCTGAGAAGTGAGGATGGTGCAGAGAGGCCAGGACCGGGGACGTTGACGGGGGTCTCGTCGTCCAGCCTTTTCCCTAAAGAGGGCTGTCCTTCCAGAGGGCAAGCACCTTGCCAGCCCTAAATCTAAAATGGAGGTGAAATCAAGAATTGCAGGAGAAATGTTTTCACCCTCCTCTCCCCTGCCTCGGTCCCTGGCAGCTCCCACCAGCCAGCTTGAGCCCAGCCAGGAGGTCTTTCCTGAGCAGGAGCCCTCTGCTCCCCTGGATCTCAGGTTTGCAACGTACTCCACGCCAACACATCCTCTCCGAGCTGGGGGTCCTGCCCAGGAGAGCAGGCAGCAGCACGGTGGTCCCATCTCTGCTGCCAGGACCCAGAGGGCATCTCTGAAGGACACAGCCCAGGGTCATTCTCCGCAGCCCAAGGTGAGCACAGAAAGCTTTTGCCAGGTTCCTGAGGACTCTGGAAGTCACGAGCCTTCTCCTGCAGCCGTGAGCCACCCTGGGGCTGCGCGGAGGTTGGTCCGGGACAGTAAAATCAAGTTTTTGAATTCCAAAAACCTGTATCAGTCTGGTCCAGTTTTAAAAGAGGAGCCTGGGACCAGCCCAGGGCTGAGCATGGCAATGATGAAGAAGATGAGGTTTCACGTCACCTTCACACCCCTCAGCTGCCCTGGGCCAGATGTGGAGCTGGGAATGGGCACAACTTCTCCCAGAGACCGTGGCCTTGCAGTTCTCAAAACCCACCAAGAAATCAAGGACGGGGCTTTCATCCCTTTCCCCGTGCTCCCCCTCTCTGCCCAGCTCCCCCAGGCTGGACACAGAGGGGTGGCTGCCGAGGGTCCCATCGCGAGGTGCAGAGGTCCCACCTGAGGACTGAAGAACTCATGGCACTCACAGCACCGTCAGCTTCCCCACCCAGCCTGCTCCCAGATTTTGTGGCCAGCAAAGCTGCCAGAGCACGCTCAGCCCTCTGCTCCATGCAGCACCCCGGGAATGAAGCAAACGTCTTCCCACAGCACCAGGGGACTCAGCACCCCCCGTTTCCCGCTGCCCCGCTGGCTCAGCTTGCAACCGTGCGAGGGACTGCACCCCCAAAGCCCTGCTTTGCTCCTGAACATCAGCTGCACGATGAGAAGTACATCTTGCTGCAGGTCCTGACCACCCACCTGCCCTACGTGGCACGGAGGTGGCACTGCCAGGTGCCTCTCCTCCCCACCCCACTACCTGCACCTCTCAGGTCCCAGAAGATGCTATTCTCACCCAAGGGAAGTTAAAAAAGTAATTTGCTAAGAAACATGGCTTTTCCTTCCTCTCTTTTGTCACCCTGGAGAAGTTTCCAGCTTAAAGGACACGGTGAAGCACGCCATGAAGATGCACAAGGAGTACAACCTACTCACACCCGTGGGATTTTCTACCGGAGCGTAACCACTTCCCAGTCTTCTTCTGACCATGTCACCTCACCGAGAACTTTGCCTGTCCCCAAGGAGGCTTTGAAAGCATCGCCCACAGCATACCTCGGTGAGGGTGGAGGGGAAGGCCACCTCGTGCAGGTGGAACTGGGGCACGCACTGGAAGGTCACCGTGAGCACGACGCCCAGGCAGCCGAGGTGCAGGCGGGCAGCCTGGAAGATGTCTGCGTTGATGGACTCGGAGCACTCCAGGATCTCCCCTGAGGCTGTCAGCAATGTGAGTGCTACGACCTGTCGAGAGGAGAGCAAAGCATCAGCAAACGTTCAACGTGTCCCATCTCCATGCCAAGATCCTACATCCACCACCAGGGAGACCCCCATACCGCAACCAGCATCACAGGGGGATTTCTGGTGAGCTTGGGTCCACCGGCCGCTCCCCTGACACCTTTGGTGTAGTGACATCAAAGGATCCTTCTCTCTCTGAGGGATGTTGGGAAAAGCCATCAAATAAAGAGGTAAGACTCCCCCAGATGATTTCACTTCTCCATAACCATCGGTGGAACCTCCGTACGGGATCTGAGCTAGGAGTGAAGGATTTTCATAACCGTCTAGTTAAAAGCAGACCTGGGTCCTGCAGAGATTTGGGTTTGGGGGGCTCCAATGCAAGAAGAGCTGCTTTCCCTTTGGTACAGAGCTTATTCATCGGATTATAGGACCATAAAGCACAGCGACAGAGGAGTTTTGGGCTGGATTGTGTTTTGGCTGGCAGATGAGGAGGTCCCAGTGTGCACGGTGGCCTTGGGGGACCCCCATAGCAGCCCCATCCCAGGGGACCAGGACCCCTCCTGCTTGCTGAGTACAGTGTGCTCCATCCTTGCCCCAGGGCTGCGCACCCCAGAGCCAGACCAGATGACGGACCATCTCCCCTGAAGCCCTCAAGATGCCGATGTCCATGCATTGACATTCCTGACTCGTGTCTCACCTGGGTGGGGAGGATGCCGTGCTTGATCCCAGTGTTGTGTGTCCCCGTCCCGATCACACCAGCTGCTGCCACCTCAGAAACGGCTCCTAAGCTGGGGGCAGATGGAAGGGCTGGTGAGGACATGTGGGACATGGCGTGGGGCACAGCCCACCATGTGCAGGTACAGAGTCCCCCAGGACATGTCCCATGCCCCAACGAGCAGGGTTTTCCACCCTTCAGCATGCCCAGGGTGGGTTTGTTGGCCACGTGTGCATATCTCCGTGGGATATATCTATCAGGATGCCACTGTCGTCCATGGGGGAGGAAGAGGCGGCTGGTGAGCACAGATCACCGTGGTCAACTCGGCTATGTCCCATGTCACTAGCGCCCATCTCTCCCCATCAGCCTGAAGGGACTCTCTGGGGTGGAGACCTTACGCGTTCAGAGCAAGGGGTGAGGAACCCAGGTTTACCCCAGAAGCATGACTATGGAGCAGGGCTGGAAGCAGCATCCACAAGCATAACGTCTGCAGACCAAGGTCTGTCCCTCCAACCATGGCCAAGGTGGGTATGTGGGGATGGTAGAAGGCTACAGCAAACTGTGGGCTGTTCCTGCCTTTTCCCCCAAATACTCCTCCAGCTTCCCACAGCTGGGGCCCAGAGATCTCCTGAACCGAACATGCTTTCTATGGCCATTGCAACTCTCAATGGATTCCTCCTCCATGAAGGAGTCCTGCTTGCCCCATCCACACCGTTGGCCATCTGGTCAGGTGGGACTTATTTCTCTGAACCCTCACCCCAGCCCTGGCCAAACTGGTCACTTGTATTGACTGAGGAACGCAGATATCAAGCCAGCCTGCAATTAAAAGCGATTTCTTCCCTGAGGTCAGCAAATGAAAGAGATTGAGTGTGAGAAATGCTCTCCATGACCGTTTCCTTTGCAAACCCTATCTGAATGAGGGTCCCTCCGAGCCCTTGGCAAGATACCCGCTGCAAGCTCCCCTTGTCCAACCTCCTGCTCCGAGGCAGGATCAGCTACTCCGTCGTGGAGGGGGTTGACCTGTGGTCTGCAGGACCCTGGTGGAAGACCAGATGCTGAAGTAAACACCCTTATTCTGCACTAAAAGCTCTTCAAACATCCCCATTTTGCCATGCCCCAGCACTTGATCTGGGGCAAGGATGGACACATGGGAGGACAGCCAGGGATGGCCCCGTGCACGTGTTCCACTCACTTGGCCAGGGCCAACCCGTGCTTGCTCAGCTCGACGTTCAGATCCGAGAGGAAAATCCCACCTTCCACCGTCACTTGCTGCTTCTCCTTGTCCACCTGCAAAGGATGGGATGGGAGAGGGGAAGGTCACAGAGCCTGGAGGAGAAAGACCCCGTGGAAAACACCTCTGCTCTTACCGATGCTGTTGATGGTGTCTATATGGGAGAGCCACCTACCACAAGGGCCTTGCCCCATCCTGAGCTGCTGCCTCTCTCAGACCTTCACCCAACCCAAACCTCATCCAACCCAATGGTGCCACTGGGTCCTGTCCCTGGTCCAGCCCCTGCTCCCCTCTGCTCTCCCCAGTCTCAGGGGTGTGTAAGCTCTCCCATAACCTCTCTGAGGTGTTGGTCAATGCAAGGTAGAAGACACCCCCCAAGCAAAGCTCTGCCTTCAGCAAACCTCTCTGCTCTGCCCTCCTACCCTTGCTCAGCCAGCTCCTGGTGGAAGGACAGCTTATTACCATTGGGAGCTACTAATCCCGCTTCTGGTAGACGGAGCTGCCAGGGAGGGAGCCATTCCTTAATTAATCATTGCTGTTAATCACCAGTAACAATCCAGCTCTCAGAATACGCTGCTACAGTCAGGATTTTTCACCTTCAGCTGCGCACGTGCACGCAGACAGGCAGACACGCGCACAATCACAAAGGTCTGGATGCAAAGCAAAGCGCAGGACAACCTCTCCCTCTCGGCAGCTCCCATTTTCCCAAAGCTGTTTGGGATACGATCCACGGGCAACCAGCAAGACCTGTTTCCTTCACAGCATCATCAAACGGAGCGATGTCCCTCCCTGCCACAGGGACGTTTCCCACGGACCATGAACATCCAGCCGGGTCTTTGCCAGGCTGCTGCGCCTGAGGCACCTTGCAAGCTCGCATCAAGCAAGCCCTGGAAGGTGATCCTGCCAGGTACCTCCTCCCCATCCAGCAGGACACACACTGGGAAGACATCGCTTCTTTGCATTTTCAGAGCTGCTCCATATGCTTCCGATGGACATGGGATGCTTTTACACGAGGGGAATGCGCATTCCCCTGTCTCACAGCAGCATTTCAAGATCTGATTTGGGAAAACTCCTGGCTGTGAGGAGAGGAAAACCTGTCCATCCTTTCATCTCTCACCTGGGTATGGCAGTGCTGGTCTCCCTGCCCCCGGTAGCTGCACAAACAGGGGTGCCACCACGTTTCAGGGCCACCACGCTACCTTCCAGAAGCAGGTCTCACCTTGAGGACCCTGTTCATCTTCCCCATCTGGATCATGAAGTCATCGGTGCAGGCAATGTCTGAAGGAGAGTGGCCGCCCCCCACCACCTTCACCCTCTTGTCCCTCTGCCTGGCCATATCGAGGATCTGCAGAGACAACAGGCAGCCTTGAGCATCCAACAGCTCCCTCTAAGCTGTGTGCCAGAGGCACGGCGAGGCTTCCCAAGCTAAAACCTCACCCATCATTGACACCACCTTCACTTAGGTAACTCACCATCTGGGGTTAAAACCACCCCTGGAGCCCACACACCTCCTAACACAGCCCTTGGGATCACCCCAAAAGAGATGATGCCCACCTGAGACACCCTAAAGTGACAGAGGCATCCCTGGGGTGACAGAAGGGACAGAAGACTCCCACCCCGGCTGGGGCAGGCAGGGGATCTCAGGAGGATGCCAGATGCTGATGCCCAAGGAACAGAGTCCAGCTGGGGCCGGGCGTGCTGGTTTTCTGCATCTTTTAGGTGTTTTGACACATCTGCTGGAGAACTTGTGCCGTTGGGTAGGATGGGCCATCTCCTGCGGCTGAGGGAAGGACTCATGCTGTCACCATCTGTGACGTCTCTGACTGAACATGACGGAGCATCGCAGCCCCTCCTGGCCTTTCCTCCTCTTCATTTCTAACGAGTTGTCTCCTTAGGGAAGCACCCTCCTTACCTCCCGGATCTCCTCCACCGAGGTGGGCTGGAAGTACAGCTCTGGAGAGGAGCCATAGGTCTTGGCCCAGTTCTGGAACTTGACTCCTCCTTGGCCATGAACCTGGAACAAAACCAAGAGCTGAAGTAGAAGAACGCAAGCACCTCCCCTGCTTTTCCACACAGCCCATTCTTCGTCTGCCAAGACCACTGTACCAGAGCCAGGTTTCCAAAAGGATTAATTATTTATGGACACAGAGGCTCTTCTCAACACTTTGAGTTTCTAGAACCAAGATGTCTCCATGTGAGCAAGTCAGCCCGGGCTCCCTTTGCAGTCAATGCGGAGAAACGGGAAGATGTCCTGGTGCGTTTGAGATGGCTCCCTTGAGCACAGCACATCCCTTCCTCCTGCAGCATGATGTGTGCTGGGGTCCTCTTGGTTTCCATGGTCTCTCCTGTTCTGATCTCCTCTCAGACCTGGTCCCAGCACCCATATGTACCTCGTGGCCTCATGTCCCCGTGTCCCCAGATAAGAGGCTGACTGGGACCAGGTTGGGACCTCCCTCCAACCTCAGCCATCCACCCTGAGACACTGTGCCCAGGCCTGGCATGGAGGGTACAGCCAAAAGATCCAACCCCATCCCATCTTCAGGCTGGGGTTAACGCAAGGCAGCGTCCCCTCAGGGTGGTTTGGATGGGTCCGGGCTGAGTGGGACAGTTTCTCCCTGGCCCTGGTCAGCCCGGCTGGGGCTTGGTCAAGAGAGGACCTGGGGTGGGGTTGGGCACCAAGCCCCAGAGAAGATGGTGAATCCCTCTGCCCCAGGCAGGGCTGGATCCAATGTGCTGCTCCACCAACACAACGCATGTCCCACCTTGGCTGCAGGGGATGATTTATTCCTGATGTCTCCTTCCTCCCGTTCCCTCCAGCCTCCTCTCCATCAGCAA